ATTTTCTCGTCAAATTCTTTTGTCCTTGTTAATGAAGAAGAGAAAAGGCAAGAAACCAGAGCTTGACTATATTGGGAAAGCTTGTCCAACTTATGATGAAGAGAAGAAGCAAGAAACCAGAGCTTGACTATTTGGAAAGCTTGTCAACTTTGGAGTTTCTATTGGAGAAAGAGGTATTTCTTTTACTTTGTTAATTGGAAATATATCCGATGCTCTGCCTCATACCAATAAGCATGAATGTGTTCACAGGTTTCTACATCGGAGAATTTTGTTACAAGAATGAGTTTTAAAGATCTCTGCGATGCAACAGAAAATTTTAGCAAAAATAACATAATTGGATTTGGAAAAATGGGGATTATGTACAAAGCAACACTTCCCAATGGTTGGTCTCTTGCAGTCAAGAAATTCTGTAATTCCAAACAATCTGAAGAACATTTCATATCTGAATTGAAGATATTAGGAAGATTAAGACACGAAAACTTACTTCCACTGCTCGGATTCTGCAAAGAATAAAAGAAAAGGCTTCTGGTGTATAACTATATGTCTAATGGAAACCTTTTCGATTGGTTGCATTCAATGGATGACGAGAAAAATACTCTGCAATGGCCTATAAGAATGAAAATTGCTATTGGTTTAGCGAAAGGCTTAGCATGGCTTCATCATTGCTGCAATTTCCGTGTAGCTCATTTGAACATAAACACAAAATGTGTTTTACTCGATCAGAATTTTGAGCCTAAGTTATCAAACTTTGGAATGGCAACGCTCATAAATCCGAAAGAGATCAATTCAAGTAGGGGTTTTGTTATGGTTTTGGTATGGTAATTGATTTCTGGGAAGAATGTTTTCTTAAGGAAGAATTTTCTAACTACGGAATTGTGCTTCCTTGAAGCTCATTACAGGAAAATTTCCTCGCTTTCTTTAAACATTTCTGAATGGAAGCTTGGATAAATGGGGTAAACTATCATTCTCCTAGTACTCTGAATTCGTCTTCATTGATTTTTGTTTCTGATGGAAGCTTGGATAAATGGGTAAACTATCATTCTTCTAGTAACTCTGATCGTCTACATGATTTTGTCGATGAGCTCCTGATAGGGAAAGGACATGACAATGAGATCTTTCGATGCCTCAAAGTTGCGTCTAACTGCATTCATCAATCTCCAGTGCAACGGCCAAGTATGCTTGATGTGTACACGACAATTAGCACTATAAGCGATTGACATTTTACAAGCTACAAGAAATTAGCACAAATTTCTTAATAGGCTTGAGATTTGTTGGAAGCAGAAGCATGCTTCTGTTACCCACATTCTATAAGTTGTATGTCAAGTGTAGTTGTTAATTAGAGCCGATCTAGTTCGGATGGGCTATATGAATCATTTGTTTCCAATATCCACTCTAATCAAATTAATAGCAAAGCAAAGTATAAATTGGAAAAATATTTTGGATGTATTAAAAGAAAAAACAGAGTCGAGAAAAGTGAAATCAATAACATTATTATTTCAAACCCAATTTAAACATGGAGATTTCAGTTTGTGACAACATATCAGAATCATCTTCAGGCCCATATCTCTCTCCAATAGCCCTTAATGTTCTATAGACCTTAAGCATTGTTGGCCTTTTCTCAGGAAAGGCCTGAACACAATCACAAGCAATTCTCAGGATCTGAAATATCTCTCCATCATTTCCTTGCCCAACAATACGCTTGTCAATAGCATCATAAAGTCCAGAAGAACTAATTGAAAGCTCAGTACCATTAAATATGCTAAACGAATTGATGATTCCAGTAGGATCCTTTCCTGTAATTAGCTCAACAAGAAGCATTCCAAAGCTGTGGACATCCTTCTTAACAAAACCCATCTCCCAAAATTCTCTATGCACAATGAAATCTCTAGTTGATTGTATATCATTTCGATTCAAGAACAGAGCTCCATTGAAATTCGACATTTTGGGCTCAAATTTCTGATCAAGTAAAATACATTTGGAGGTTATGTTGAGATGAATAACCTGAATATTAGGGTTGTAATGAAGCCAAGCCAAGCCTCTTGCTAATCCAATTGCTATTTTAACCCTTAAAGGCCAATCAATGTTATTATCACCACCAATTTTGGTTTTATGAAGCCAATCATAAAGGGTTCCATTTGAAATGTATTTGTAGATTAGAAGCATTTCTTTCTTTTCTATGCAGAATCCTATTAGAGGCACTAAGTTAGTGTGTCTTAACCTACCTAAAGTCATTAGCTCACATACAAATTCTTTCTTGAAATTCTGGAAATTGTAGAGCCTCTTAATAGCAAGAAACCAACCATTTGGAAGTGTTGCCTTGTACATTGTTCCCATTTTTCCTTGACCAATGATTCCTTGACCAATGATGTTCTCTTTATCGAAATTTGAAGTTACCTCAGCAATTTCTTTGCAGCTCATTCTTGTAACCATCCTCTCCAATGTAGAAATCTGTTGAAAAAAAAAAATCAACTTCTCTTGATTATATAATATCTGGGTACTTTAAACAACTAGACAAAATGAATTAACATTAAAGACCAAGCTAATGGGTAGAGTAGAGGATGGTCATGTAGCTTTTTGAAAATGATGTTGAAACTTTTTCCAAAATATATTTTAAGCCCATAAACAATATTCAATAATAATTTGTGTACCCAGAATATGTTAAATACAGAGAGTGATATATATACCTTTATATCTATCCTTCTTCCATCAATTGGTATCTTTATTGGCTTTTTAATTTTCTTCCCTAGAACCTTATTCTTCGAAAACTTGGTTGTAGAATACAGAGCAAAAAGAACAATAACCAGAGCAAAAGCAACAGCATAACCAACAACAAACCCATGAAAGAAGCGAACAGGGAACTCAATAGGAGGAGGAAGACAAGGATCCAAAGGTACACCACATAGTCCTTCATTATTTGCATAACCATCACTACCAACCCAAGCAGTGAAATTAGGATTAAAATTAGGCACAGGCCCAGACAACAAATTGTTAGCAACACTAAATCTCCGGAGTCGACTCAGGAGCCCAATCTCCGTCGGTATTTGCCCTGTTAACCTGTTATTATCAAGTATTAGCACATTAAGGAAAGAGCAATTGGCTATACTAACAGGAATTTCACCAGAGAGATTATTATGAGATAGATCAAGAACGGAGAGAAATGGGATTCTTTTGGATATATCAGATGGGATTGTGCCGGAGATTTGGCTGCCTGAAAGGTTCAAGCCTGTAAGGGTTGTGCAGTTCTCAATACCCTGAGATAGATCAAGAACGGAGAGAAATGGGATTCTTTTGGATATATCAGATGGGATTGTGCCGGAGATTTGGCTGCCTGAAAGGTTCAAGCCTGTAAGGGTTGTGCAGTTCTCAATACCCGTAGGAAAGTTGCCTTCGAGACCCATATTGGCGAGATTGAGATTTAAGACTTTATTTTCGTCTATGTGCCAGCAATCAACACCAGCAAAATAACAGACGAAATCGTGGGTATTGTTATTTAAGTTCCAGGAAGAGTGTAAGCGATGTTGAGGATCTTTGAAGGAGTCTTTGATTGATTTCAGGCATGCAATATTAGTATCAGTGCTGGTACTGAATGTAAACGTACTCAAGAGAAATAAAAGAGTTAAGTAGTTTAAACTCCATTTATATGTAGTTTAAATACTATTACGAAATATTTAACTGCAGAATAAAAAGTAAGTCCAAAAGCAAGTCTTTCACGGCATGGAAAATTGAAGTGGTGGAAAAAAGAAACTCCACGTACATCGAAATCAAAGTCTTCGGGCTGGTTGACCCGCTATATAGATATTGAAAGAGGATACTTCCTTGGGGGCTTCGTGGTTATCTGGTTCCAGTTTCGATTTTTTGTTTTTCAGGAACTGGAATTGAAATAAAAGAAATTCGGTACACTGTCTCAGTTCCAGTTCTTAAATTTTCAATTAGGTAGTTCCATTCTGCAGTTTTGGTTATTTGGTTCTAATTTTAGTTCTTTTATATAAAATTATTACATTTTCTAAAGGATAACCACAGTTATAAACTTTTCCTATATTGCATTAATATCATGTTCCTTTAAATAAATAAATAGAATTTAATATTAAAATAAAACTACAATACAGATAAATAATCCATCGTAACCATATATCAATACCGGTAACAGAGCCAAAAATAAGACGTGGGGTAAATTTTTTTTAAAATTTAAGGGAGACAAAATTGAAAAAATTCATTATTTTAAAGATAAAATTGAAAATTATTAACATTTTATAGGTAAATGTAGGATCCATAAAATTATCTATCATTAATTTACTCACTTAATGAGTATTAATTATTAAAAAAATAAAAGTCGTATTTCTGAGCTAGAGGGGCCGGGGTGGCCCGCCTCTAACTAATTCTTTTTCAAAGAATTATGTCATAAAATTTCAAATTTTTTTATTTTATCCTTAAAATAATAAACTTGTCAATTCCATCCCTTTAATTCTTAAAAATTTTATTTTACCCCCTAATTTTAATTTCCGACTGTATCATGGAATTCATTCATTAAAAAAATAGAAGTACATCAAATAAACCTTGATGAAATCGAACTTATGTTACAACATTCAGGAAAAATATGAAACATTAAAAACCATCGGATCCAAAAAGAAGGGATTAATTCACTTTTCTTCTTTTATAAATTTCCTTTAAGACCCCTTCTTAAAATTACTATTTAGTCATCTTTATAATATTTTATTATATGTTGGCTTTGGAAAAAAAATTTTCTCGATCCGGTCGGGGTCGTGGAAAGCAAGTCTTTTACGGAATGGGAAATTTGTGTACATGCAAATCAAAGTCTGCCCAACGCATGTTGGAGGAGAGGATTCTTCCTTGAACTTACATATGTATATATGTCTTTTTTTTTTTAATTCTTTTTCACGTATTTTCACATTTTCTTTAAATATAATATTAATTTGTTTTAGAGTCTGTGGCCATCCTCTCTCTATAAATACTTTTCATGGATCGAGCTTTCTTACAATGTGAAAATTGTACCATCAATTCTCTTTATATATTGTTGCTAGCAACTTACACATACCATCAATTGTTGCTAGACAAGTCCATCCACTTGAGCATATACATAATTCATTGCTAGCCCTTCCTTGAATCCTTTATCCATCACTATATTGTTTCTTTTGCAGCTTTTAGATTTCAGTAATTAGATGTCTTGCAAAATTAGAAGAGTTGGTGCAGTTTCTCTCTGTATATTTATCTTTTCATTTTTGGCCACTTTTACTGCAACTATCAGTACAGAAACTGATATTGCTTGCTTAAAATCTGTCAAAGCTTCCTTAGAAGACCCTTTTGGTTACTTGAATTCTTCCTGGAATTTCAACAACAATACAGAAGGTTTTATTTGTAGATTTACTGGTGTGGATTGCTGGCATTTTGATGAAAACAAGGTCTTAAATCTCAGACTCTCTGATATGGGACTTAAAGGTCAGTTCCCTAGAGGGCTTCAAAATTGTACAAGCTTAACAGGCCTAGACTTATCCAATAACGACCTTTATGGACAAATTCCATTTGATATTCAAAAACTACTACCGTATGTTACTGTGCTTGATTTATCCTCCAATAATTTCTCTGGTGAAATCCCATTGAGCATTGCTAATTGCTCTAATTTAAATGTTCTTAGACTTGACCAGAACAGTTTAACCGGTCATATTCCACAAGAAATTGGTTTGCTTAGTCGGCTCAAGACGTTTAGTGTTGCTTATAATTTGTTATCAGGAGCAGTGCCCAATTTTAATTCTACAACCATTGGTTCTGATTCCTACGCAAATAACAGTGGACTCTGTGGAAGGCCTTTAGAAAGATGCAGAGATCATTTGGAGAAATTCCACTGGCGATTTGTTTATTCATTCAAAGATGGGTTTGCTATTGGCTACGCGGTTTCTTTGATTTCTGCTATAGTAATTTATGCTTCTTATTGTGTACCTTGGGTGCATAAGGGGACGAAGGATGAGAGGATCACAATACCAACAATGGTGATGATGATGATGAAGAGAAAAAGCAAGAAAACAGAGCTTGACCATTTGGAGAGCTCGTCAACTCTGGAGTTTCTACTGGAGAATGAGGTATTTCATTTACGTTATTAGTTAGACTCTTATATTTACTGGGACACTTATAATCTTATATTAGTTAGGTTTTCTATTTGATAAACAATAATAAAAAAATGAGGCAGTGTGCTGAAAATACTAGTTACAAATTGTTAACCCCTTTGTTTGGAACAAATTTGTGCAATCATTTGCAAACCCATATTTTTGTATTTGAAATTTTAAAAAATAAAAAATTTCAATTTCAATTATAGGAATTCAATTCATGGGATTGAATATAATTACATCAAATTTTCAAAAAATAAGTGGAATTTCCACAAAACTAAGTAATTCAACTTTTGATGACAAAACTATACCATTTTTCTCCTACAAAGTCAATTTATCAATTTTTTACTTATTTAATTTATTTATTTTATCAAACTTGACCAAAATAATTTTAAAATTTTAATTTTTTTATAAAAATATTTTTTATTAGTGTGTTTTTATTTTAATATTTTTATCTTTTATTTTAATATTTTTTAACATTTTTTTTACTATTGAGAGAGATTCAAGTTAAATATATATTTAGCACTAAATCAAATGCAATAATTTGCATTTATTTTAAAAAAATATAAAAATTATATAGCATAACATGAATATAATTGGTATTTATTATTTACTTTTATGAAATTACTATTTCAAGGATATTTTAGAAAACAAAAGTAAATGAATTTTCAATTATAAATTTATCACATGCATGATTATGTCGAATTCAAATGAATTATATGTTTTAAATTGGGTTAATTATAAATTTAGTGTTTGAACTTTCGAAAAATTTCTATTTCAGTGTCTCAACGGAAAATATTTACAATCAAATGTTTAAATCGATAAATTTTTTTTAATTAGGTGTCTCCATCCTACGTGGCTTGCCATAAACATAAATAGGACTTATGAGATCCACTTAATGTTCAAAATAATACTAAGTAAGACGACAAATAGCTTGAGTCGTCGGATTTTGGCGTGTCAAATAATGGAGTATAAAAAAGATTGATAAAATTGCCCTTAGCCCTATAATACTTACTAGATGGCTAGACCTAGTCCATAACTCTACATATAAGCCAAAAAAAGTAAGATAATGACACATGATTTAATATTTTTAATTCCAGAAATAAGAAATCTCATTCTTCTCTAATCTTTCTCTAGCCTTTGCATTATAATTCCAGTACATTATAAGGTCCAATGGTTATTTTTCCATTAAGCGACTAAGATATTAAAAGTACTCTTAAAATAATTATTTTCCCTACATTTAGGGGTGAGCAAATAGTGAACTGAATCAATCTAAGGTGAAAGAAAATACAAAACTGAAATTTCCATGAGTAAAATGAGTCGAACTGAAAATGGGCATTTAAACTGAATCGACTCGAATTTTATTAGTCAGTTTGTGCGGTTTAATCGGTTTGATTTTAAGTCTAACCAATCAATTCTTGCATAACCAAGATGAGACAAACAATAATTTTGGTTCAAATAGAGCGAAATGACCAACCGAACCTCTTTTGAGCAGTCAAATTACATCTATAGGACAGTTATGGACCAAAGCAATTAATATATATATTTTTTTAAAAACTATTCTCATTTTATCTCTTTTTTCCCATTGAATGGTCAAAAATATTTTTATTAAAAAAATAATTTTTTTATTGATTTGATCAATTGATTAGCCAATAGACAGTGTCTAATCAAGTTATTCTACGACCGAAATATGATGTGTACTGGTTCCTAACCCAGACAACTTGCACAACAATGTGACTGCACAATAATGTGACATTTGCTAGTTTTCCAAAAATAGGTGTGTCAGCATATTTATGTCATAATGCAAATATATACGATGCTCTGCCTCATACCAATAAGCTTGAATATGTTTACAGGTTTCTATGCATGGTCTAGTTTTCCAAAAATAGGTGTGTCAGCATATTTATGTCATAATGCAAATATATACGATGCTCTGCCTCATACCAATAAGCTTGAATATGTTTACAGGTTTCTATGCGGGAGAATTTTGTTACAAGAATGAGTTTTGAAGAGCTCAGCAACGCAACAGAAAATTTTAGCCAAAATAACATAATTGAAAATGGAGAAACGGGGATCATGTATAAAGCAACACTTCCTAATGTTTGGTTTCTTGCAGTCAAGAAAATCTATAATTCTCAAGAATCTGAAGAACATTTCATATCTGAATTGAAGATATTAGGAAGATTAAGACATGACCACTTACTTCCACTCCTCGGATTCTGCAAAGAATCAAATAAAAGGCTTCTGGTGTATAAGTACTTATCAAATGGAAACCTTTTTGATTGGTTACATTCAACGGAAGACAAAAGAAAGACTCTGCAATGGCCTTTAAGAATGAAAATCGCCGTTGGTTTAGCGAGAGGCTTAGCGTGGCTTCACCATTGCTGCTACTTCCGTGTAGCTCATTTGAACATAAACTCAAAATCTGTTTTGCTTGATCAGAATTTTAAGCCTAAGCTATCAAACTTCGGTGCTTGATCAGAATTTTAAGCCTAAGCTATCAAACTTCGGAAGGGCGACACTTATCAATCCAAATGAGATAAACTCAAACAGGGGTTTTGTTATGGATATTGAATTTTGGGAAAGGTTTTTTCTTAAAGAAGATGTTTTCAACTATGGAATTCTGCTGATTGAGCTCATTACAGGAAAAAATGCTGCTACTTTAAACACTTCTGATGGAAGCTTGGATAAATGGGTAAGCTATCTTTCTTCCAATAACTCTTATTGTCTGCATGATTTCGTGGATGAGCTTCTGATATGGCAAGGACATGATGATGAAATCTTTCAATGTCTTCAACTTGCATGTGGCAAGGACATGATGATGAAATCTTTCAATGTCTTCAACTTGCATGTACTTGTGTTCAAGAGATTGCAGAGCAACGGCCAAGCATGCTTGATGTGTACACGACAATTAGCACTTTAGGAGGTAGATATGGTCATATAGAAAATGAAGAGCAATTTGTGCAAAGTGAAATTATAGATGCTGCATAAATTTCCAAAATGATTATATCGATGTGGAAATAACAGGTTTGAACTTTGATGGTTGCAAAAGAGTTGTTCTGTTACTCTGATTTTATTGTATTTTTGAAGAGCCAATCTTATTGTCTCTTGATTTGTTCATGTTCTCTGAGTTAATTTCATTAGTCCACTGTATAATCTTATTAATTTCCATACACAATTAAAAATAATATAATATAATTACCCAAGGTGGTGATGCAGTGGTATAAGAGTTGATCATACGACTGCTTGATCTAAGTGCCATTATTCATAATGTCTAAATACCTGCAGGCAGGGCAGTTTCATTATCATTTTAAAAATTTAAATTTATAATTTTATCAAGGCAGTATTTATTTGTTGTTAAATTCTCTTTTTTTTATTTGTTAATTCACGTTTTCTATTTGTTTATTCATATTTATATTTTTATATATAATTTTTGTAATTTTATGCTGTATTTAAATTTAATTCTCTTTTTGTAATTATTTATTCAAATTTTATGATATTTTATACACGGTTCAAAGTATCATTCATTACGTCATTTGTATTCATTACCCCACACATTAAATTCAAAGCTCTTGGCAGTTTCATCTACTTCCCAATAAATTTATGTTTTATTATTTTGTCTTTTTGTTAAATTTTGATGATGGTTTGAGAGAATTAATGATTTAACGTGTGATTATCATAATTTTTAAAACAATAATTTTTAGATTTTTTAATTAATTAAATATAAAAAAAAATTTATAAATTAACGTGTCTAATTTTTTATTTTATTTTTATAAGTTTAATTATTTAATGCGTCAAAATAAAAATTGAGATGGTTATATTTTTTTTAATAAAGTACAGAGATATGTATTTAGGCCATGTTTAAAAGATGTTATTGGGGTTGGGGCAAATAGTTGGGTTAATAAAAAAGTCAAACTATATCTTATCAATTATTCGATTTGAATTGGTTCATTATTTTTCTATCCGGTTTTATTTTGATTAATGATGAAAAATCAAAAATTCTTTTGGCACAATTCAGTTGAAGCCTAAAAAAACTAAAGAAAATTGATCAAAACTCCAACTAAAATCAACTTGAATCAAACTGATTTGACTCAATTTAAGTAGGTTTTTGATAAATTTTTATTAAATTTGGTTTCATTCAAAGAATTTTAGTAAAAATTAATTTAACATAATTGAATCAAACCAACCGTGTACACACCATTAGATGCAATAAACAATTTCATCCGTATTGGTTGACGATGGTTGATGTATTCCATTGTGTATTTATTTATGTATTTATTTGGATTAATAATAATGGAATGATAAATTGCAAAAAGGTAATGCAATTATGTATAAATATAAAAAATGTAATTAAAAATTTTTAAAATAATGTCGAGCAAAATATAATAAATCAAACATAGTAAATTTAATATCTTAATTACTATATATTCACAGTAATTTTATGTATATTAATAAATGGAACTCTTAATAAAAAACAAAATATAATAATTTTATGTAAAATAAAAATTTTTTTAAATAAATTAATGAAAATAAATAAACGAAAGTATAATAATGGTCCTGCAATCTAATATAGGTAATTTGCTTTGATTGCGTCATTTCCGGTATATAAAAAATAATTACGAATTTAATAAATATTATTAAAAGACAAGAATTGATTTTATTGCATAATTTATAGTATTATTACGGACTATTAAACGTCTTATATGAATAATAAACATATAAGTATTGATTGCTATGGTATGGACATGATAATGACCGAGTCAACTACACTAAAATTTTAAATAATAAATTGAATTTGAGTATTTTTAAATTATAGTATTGCTTGTTGTGGGTATGGTCATGACAATAATGGATTATTTTCTATATAATTTTAAATAATAAATTGAAATTTAAGTAATTTTAAATTATAAATTGAAATTGATATCTTATGTGTTCATAAAGTTGAAATACTTCCCGTGAAAGCCATCGTAATGCGCACTAACCAGCCACTTATAAATTGAAACTAATATCTTATAAAGTGCGTGTTCATAAAGTTTAAGTCCTTCTAGTGAAACCCATCATAACGCACTAACCAGTTAACATTCATTCCTCTTACTATTACAATTAATGGAAACTGTGGAATCAAGAAAAAAGCGTAAAACAAAGGGAAAATTATTATTATTGTATTCTTGTATATTTGAAAATACAATTTTAGTCGGTCTCTGCATTTTTTAAAATGCTTTTTAAAATCATTACGTTTTTATTCCGTCATATATTTAGTCCTTTTGTTCAATTTAATATGTTTTGTCCGTTAAATGATTTTGTCAAATTTAATAATGTTTTGTTCCGTTAAATGAATAAAAAATTACCTAAATAGACCTTCTTATTTTCATCTCAAGTAATTTCTTTTCTCCAACAACTTATTTTTGCCTTATTCTCTCTTCTCTTGTTCTTTTATGTTTCTATTTTTTGTACAAACCCTAGTTATGGGGCTAAATCTTCTCTATAGAGAGATAAGTTTATATCACATAGGTTTTTTGTGTTTTGGTTATCTTCACCCACTATTTAGGAGACAAATGAAAGCTTGATCTTCATTGTTTTCAAGCCGACCCTGATGTTGTTATCTATGATCCAGTTTATGATTGGGAAGGAATGGACTTAAGAGAAGAAGAAATAGATTGATGTATAAATTGGTGCCTTCTTTTTTTTTTAATCTAGTAAATTGAAAGAGATGGTTCTGATATTGTAGATTCTTAAAAAAAAAACATTTCAATTTCTATTGAAAATGAAGTGGCAAGAAACAGATTGATCTAACCTAGTGCTGCTGGTTTTTTTTTTTTTTTTTTCATCTACTCATTGAAGAGATGGTTTTGATGAAAATTAACAAAACCATCAATTTTCTTTTGGGAAATAAAATGCACTTTGGAAAATGGGTTTAAAATTTTTTTATTATGAATCTATTTTTTAAAAAGTTTTTATTTAATTTTGGATGCTAATCTGTTGAAAATATTTTTAATATTTTGCAATTTATAAGAATATGTGACGTTATAAAAGATCCTCTGGATAAATTTTTGTTTGTTATTTAGTGAATATTTAAAATATTTGGTGATATTTTTTTCTTCGTTATTTTTTATTGAGATAAATATTTCTTGAAGATAGTTTTTTATAAATTAAATGAAACCTCAAATTTAATATTTATAAAAATAAATTTTTAATAATAAAATCAAATATATGGTCCACTATAAAAAATGAATTCCTAGTAACAAAATCAAATGAATGATTTAATGTAAAAATTTATGAAAAATATATTTGGTTCTTATTTTTAAAATGAAATTTCATTCTCTTTTTTTTTTTACCCTAATTAGATAAAATTGAATGGAATGACTAAAATTGTGACGCAATATAAGGATTCTTAAAAGCATTTATAAGGATTCTTAAAAGCATGTACAAAAAATACAGGTACTTGAGTAGTTGTATTTCGATAGATAATGGATGTAATAGTAATTTCCTGTAAAACAAAACATCTTTAAAATGTCAAATCAAAGATATCATTCATTACGTCATATATGTGAGTTATTGCATACCTGTTTCTGTATTCCTTTTGCCCCACCCGACGAAATTCACGTTTATAATGCTTTCCTCTTCTTATCTACTTTCCAGAAACTATCAGTATAAGTCAAGGTCATTTATAGAAAGAAGTACTCAGAAACAGAAAATAGAAGCAATGGCAAACGAAGGCGAGGTAGTGAGCAATAAGCAGGTGATATTAAAGAACCATGTGACTGGGTATCCTAATGAATCTGACTTTTACATAAACACTACTTCTATTAAGCTTAAAGTACCAGAAGGAAGTAAAGCTGTTTTGGTCAAGAATCTCTACTTGTCTTGTGATCCTTATATGCGTGGTCGCGTGGTTCGCATGAGTAATGGCCCGGCTGATGATACCGAATTCGCTCCTTTCACTCCTGGCTCTGTAATTTCTCTCAATCCATTTTTCTTTATATTTTATAAATTGTGTTATTATTTATTTTTGGGTTTTTTTGGAACCAATTATAGTTGTTTGTTTCTGGGGTTGTATTAATTTCTTATAAATGTGATGGAAAATATGATGATTTTGATGTGAAATTACTACATCAATTGAATTGCTCTGTTTTTGTTCTCTGAATACCTTTTCTTCTCATCGTTTGTAAATTGTTTTATTATTTATTAGTCCTTTCTTCTCTTCTTTTTTTTTTTTTTTTTTTTTAAAAAAAATTTTTTTTTTTTTTTTTTTTTGAAAAAAAAAAAAGCCAATAAGTGGATTTGCAGTGGCTAAAGTGGTGGATTCAGGGCATCCTGACTTCAAGAAAGGTGACTTGTTATGGGGAGTTATAAGTTGGGAAGAGTATAGTCTTTTAACAAAACCTGAAAGCTACTTTAAAATCCTCCATACAGATATTCCCCTTTCCTACTACGCTGGACTACTTGGTAAGTTCTTTCTTCAGTTTATGATACTTGGAATTTTTATTGGTTAGGACTTTTGCTACTGGTGGAATTTCTTTTCCTTTTCTGGTCAGGATTGGTTAGGACTTATTGATGAAATTGAGGTGTTATTGAGAACTATTGTATGTAGATATAACCTTAGGAGTTTGGTATCTATGGATTTTTCTTAATTTTTTGTCTCTCTAGTTCAGAATTTTAGATTTATCTTAGTTCTTTGAATTATGATAGTATTAGAATTAATTGGAAAGGTATTGAAAATGGAATTTTTCTTATTTTTGGCAATTCATTGGTTTGATTCTCTAATCAAAATTTCTATTGAAAGGTTCTCTCAAACTGTAAGCTTTTCTTATAATAGTAACTAAAGACTGTATAGCTAAACAACTGAGACTTGAAAAGTTTTTTTATAACAAGATCAGACCTAACTTTGTTGCTGTTAATAGAACCATCCCGGACAAAAATTTCAACAATGTTTAATATCCGGTCTTCTTTTCTGCGTTAAGGATATTATCCCGTTGTAAATTGTTTTAACTTATTCTTTCTTGTTTTAAAATAGGGTTTGTAAATTTTTAACTTATTTCTTGTTTTAATAGGTATGCCTGGCATCACTGCTTACTTCGGTCTGCAAGATATTTGTTCTCCTAAAGAAGGAGAACGTGTCTACATTTCAGCAGCGTCGGGTGCAGTTGGTCAGCTTGTTGGGCAGTTTGCAAAGTTGATGGGTTGCTATGTTGTGGGCAGCGCTGGAAGTCAACAAAAGGTGAATCACTATGAAGAGCACACTTCGATCTTTGGTTCACCTTCATTTCTTATTGAATGACTTGTTACATGAAAAGAATCAAGAATTATCATCCTAATCGTCATTTAACTTCTATTTACTTGCCAAAGTTCTATTGTATGATCACTTTCTGCATTTTGCATGAAATATATATTTTGTATTATGTCTCTTCTTTATTAAATGTAGTGATTGGATGGTTTTTTATGAAGAACAAGTTTGGTTTCAATGATGATTAAACATGCTGAACTCATTTAATTTTGTTCTGGTTTGTCTCCCATAAAGGTTGACTTATTGACGAACAAGTTTGGTTTCGATGCTGCTTTCAATTATAAAGAGGAGCAAGACTGGGATGCAGCATTGAAAAGGTCAGTGTGTGTTATTTAAGAAAAAGTTAAAAACATTCCTCTCAAACTTGATGGAAAATTTTAAATTCTTTGTTTGACATAATTCCCATTTATTTTAATTTTTTGGGGATCTTTGCTTGCCTACACTTAATATATATGTCTTCCTATTATTCAAATATTGGTAGAACAATATGTACCCTAACAAGAATATGTAAAACTAAAATATGAAAATCTGGTATCTTTCCCATGCTGTGCCAACATTTCTTGCTCTTATCTATGACAAACATACGTCATGATAACATTGTGCATTCCAATGAAATACTTTTGTTTTTTTCATAACCGAAATTGTGTGACCACAAGCATGAGAAAATTTCTTACCACATATTGGTGAGACTAATGTAATCTCCGTACAAAAATTCTCAGAGCCATCTAATATGTAATAGAACTCATTAAATTCCATTCTCCAGATATTTTCCTGAAGGCATTGACATTTACTTTGAGAATGTTGGAGGAAAAATGCTTGATGCGGTTCTTCTAAACTTGAGGACCCATGGCCGAGTCGCTGCCTGCGGAATGATTTCTCAATACAATCTGGAGCACCCAGAAGGAGTGCACAACCCAGAAGGACGTGCACAATTTGAATGACAATTGTTTTATAAAACGAGTTCGAATACAAGGATTTGTAAATCTTTTGATGTACTTTCACTCAAGCAGTAATGTCTAAGTTCTTTGGACTTTGTTCTGCCCTCACATTAGAGAAGGCAAGATTATTATGTGGAGGACATAGCTGAAGGCCATTTGAGAAATGGTCCTTCTGCACTGCTGGGTCCTTTTCAGCGGCCGGAACGTTGGAAAGACCAGGTTAGTACGCACTTGCTCATAGAGTGAAATTTGGCCTACATTTGTTATTTGGATATCTGTTAATGCAGGAATAAAGTTCTACTGGTACTCCTGCAATTTCATCATTTGTGTGTTATATTAGTAACAAATAAACAAAAAGAGAAGATTTTTTTTTATGTATTAACCTTTATTCTTTTATGTATTAAACCTTATTCTGGCTTGACGTGTGCCATACAAAGGGCTGTAATTTTTTATTCAGAAGCAGATTTCAGATTTTTGAGTAATAATAAAACCCATTTCTGGTTATCATATTGCTTAAGCTGAAGTAATTAATTATATAATTGTATTTAGCAAACATCTTATTTTAACAATTGTTATCTTGGGAAAGTAAGAGAGTGGCTGAGAATTAAAAACAAAAGAAGAGAGAAGTTCAAAACAGAGTGGTTAATGCAAACCTCAAAAATGTCAGTCAATGGTACTGCTATATCATTTTAGCCTTTGATTCCTCTGTTTAAAGGCGGGAGCTATGAATTTTGAAGCATAAAAATGAAAATTTTGTTTATTTATGGCTCAATAATAGACTACCCACATTAGTTATATAAATTAGAGAAAATTATTATTTAGTCCCGACATTTGATTAAATTAACTAACTCATCCTTGTATTTTGATAATATTAATTATTAGTTCCTGAGGTTTATCTCCGTTAAATTAATTGATCTTTCCATCCAATTTTTTTCGTTTTTCCGTTAACTCCATTTAAGAAGATGGAAATACCCTAATTTTTCCTGGAAAAGACTAAATTAACCTAGGTTAACTATTCCATTGCTGTGAGAGAAAACCAAAAGTCATATTCCATTCTTGATCAAAAAGAAAGAGCAACAATAACTCGTCAGCTTGCTCTGAAGTTTGATGGAACCTTTTGATCAACCTAGAACGAAAAGAAAGGACTAACGTGATCGTTGTTCCCATTTAACAGGTAACGCCGGCGCATCTCAACCTGGTTGCCTCTGGAGCGAACTTGTGGTTGCAGACGCCATTTTTAGCAAAATATGCTTTGAATTTCTGCAAATCAATGAATTCTTGTCAAATCGGCACTCAGGAATTTTCGCCGGTAGTTTGCATTGCTTAACAGCTAACACAAGAACCAGGAAAAAAAATGGTTGCAGACGCCATTTTTAGCAAAATATGCTTTGAATTTCTGCAAATCAATGAATTCTTGTCAAATCGGCACTCAGGAATTTTCGCCGGTAGTTTGCATTGCTTAACAGCTAACACAAGAACCAGGAAAAAAAAAAAAGATAAATTTGGTAGTTCGAGAAACTCGAGAGACTTGCAGTTCCCGATTTCATCTGGAATCAAGACTTGTATTTGAATAAAGTCGACGAAGACTTCAGGGAAGGCCATTCATCTTTGTGATTAACAAATGGTTTATGAGGTTCCTATCCAGTTTCATGTTTATTTTCCACCACTTGATTTCTCCATACAAAATGTTCGTTAAACTTTTTTATTTTATTTAAAAACTGCTAATTGCCATCTGCCGCTTAGAGTTTTAAAATGGAAAATGCTAATTAAATCTGTTGATAGCAAAAATTTTTTATAGGATTTACTATTTATTGCAAAATCAAGATTTTTTAATCAAAGTTGCATCTTTCAGTTTTGATTTTTTAATCAAAGAATGGAGTATGACTTTTGGTTTTCCCTCCATAATATAGTTAATCCTGGGTTAATTTAGTCTTTTCCATATTAAAAGTTAGGATATTTCCGTCTTTTTCAATGGAGTTAACGGCTAAAATGAAAGAAATTGAATGAAAGTGTCAACTAGTTTAATAGAAGTAAACCTCAGGGACTAGTAATTAATATTATCAAAATGCAAAGATGAGTTAGTTAATTTGGTCAAATGTTAAGGATTAAATAATATTTTTTTCTATAAATTATATATAATTACTTTATGCAAATTTCAAATGTTGAAGGTTGATTCCTTTCAAAAAAAGAAAATGTTGAAGGTTGATTGCGGAAAATATATTAATTAGTGTACATTATGTATTAGATTAGACGTGAATTAAACCATAGTCTTTGATAATTTTTTTTTTAATTTCTAATAACTGATGTAAATAAATAGTTAGCAATCCAAATGTTACAAGGTTATATAGGAAATATATTAGTATACAATATGTATAAATTATTCATGAAAACTTTGATAATTTTTTTTAGTAATTAATTTCAATATATGGCTAGCAATATTAACATTATTGCTTAATCTAATAATTTAGATGGAGAATTAAAATTTAAAAATTAATATAAGATTAAATTTTATTATCAAAGCATAAAAAAATTTTCAAATATATAAAAGATATTCATAGAATATATAAAACGCTAAAAATTACTCGGTTTATCCAAAATAACCTATCGATGTTCATAGGTTTGAATTAAATTAAGTACCTTTTACGATTTGATTCAATTTATTTTTTTTATAAACCGAAATTATATATTTGATTTAGAAAAAACTTCAAACTGAATAATTTTATTTTTAAGTTTTAATTAATTACACTTAATTGAGTATTAATTGAGTATATATATATATATCCGCATTAGAAATATAAGAGTTGGAAGATAAAGCATCTCTATCTGTAAACATGTAACTAATAGCCCCGTCCTGTATATCAATTTTTTGTAAATTAAAAGTAGAATTTTTATTATCTATTAACTGTATTTAAAGAAAATTTTATTAATGCAAAGCAAATAAAATGTATTCAACTTAAATTTTTAAAACATTGTCTCATATTTTCAATTGTCAATTATAAAATTTTAATTTTTTGCCTTTGTGTATTTTATAATAATTAATTTTTTATAATATAGGTAAATGTATATCTATTAAAAAAAAAAAGGTAAATGTAGATCGAATATTAATTTCTAAAATTCTTGATGTCTTTTATTACATACGTTAGCATGTGTTTACTAAGATATATTCATTATTATATATATATAAATACTATTTAGTTCACGAGTAAAAGAATATCTTAGACCTTATAAAAGAATAAGAAATTGCTGACAGTGATTTTCGCAAGTGTACAAAATCGCAACAAGTAGTATAGAATATCTTAGTTCCCTATCCTAGTCTCTTACAGCCGTTACCATCCCTACACAAGCTTAGTTGCCTATTTCCATTGATTTTATTCCCCTTTCCCATCCTTACACAGCTCAAAAAGTGGCAATTCTTTTCTTTGATGTGGTTTTTAAATTGCATGGTATGTTACAGACAATTGTTTCTGACAGGGATAAGACTTTCACAAGTCTATTTTCGAAGGAATTATTCCATTCTTTGGGCACCAAGCTGAATTTCAGTTCTGCCTATCACCCACAACCTGATGGGTAGACTGAATAGGTCAACAGATGCATTGAGACCTATCTGAGGTGTATGACTTCTACTTATCCTTCTAATTAGTGTAAATGGCTAAGTTTGGCAAACTGGTGGTACAATACCACATTTCATTCCAGCATTAATATGTCCCCTTTTAAAGCTGTATATGGGTTTGATCCCCCTCTTTTACCTCAATTATCTCCTGGTTTTTCTTCTGCTGCATCTCTTGAGGATCTTTTGTTCGAAAGGCAACAACCATCTTAGCTTCTAAAACACAATTTGTCTATAGCTCCAAACAGAATGAAGCAATTTGCAGATTCTAAAAGAATTGAGAGACAGTTCTCTGTTGGTGATTGGGTATATTTGAAGCTCCAACCCTATAGACAGAGTACTATGGCACTCAAGAATTTGAAGCTGTCTGCTAAATTTTATGGCCCATTTTTTATTCTCTATCAAATTGGTGTTGCTGCATATAAGTTGCAACTCCCTCTTGATAGTCAAATACATCCAGTGTTTCATGTATCTCAACTTAAGAAGTCTGTGAAACCAATAGCTCCAGTGACTACAGATTTGCCTCAACTTTCTTTTTCTAGCGGTCTAATCATTAAACCATACCAAGTGCTTCAATCCAGAAAAATCACAAAACACAACTAGCAGGTCCTTTAGGTTCTCATCCTTTGGAAGAACATGGCTTTATCTGATTCCACCTAGGAAGATGCCGCTTTCATTGCCAAGCAATTTCCAGAATTTAAGCTTGAGGATAGGCTTGTGCTTAAAGGGAAGGGTAGTTGTTAGGATATAATTATGTAATAAGGACTTGAACTCTTAGTATTTAATCTTTTTTTTTTTTTTTTTGTGGTTATTTGTAACTGACGTATAATAATGATGAGTCAGATATCATGTTCTTTCTTACTGGCTAGTAATGTGGAGTGGGTTGCCACCTAGCTAAGGTATACAAACTATTGTATTGCTTCCTTTGGAATTACGACAATGTTAAAAGTATTCTCTATTTCGCTAAGGTATACAAACTATTGTATTGCTTCCTTTGGAATTACGACAATGTTAAAAGTATTCTCTATTTCTAAAACTCTCCTTCTCTCTCTATCCTTTCTCTCTCGATGGCCTCTTGCGCCCAAAACTACTCAAAAACCTAAATTCATGTTCCATCTCAGGTTCTATGGTTGATGCACCTGACAGGTCTATAGCTTTTATCTGTTTAACTAAGATTAAAGTGAGTAACATTTCATAATTTGCTCTCACAAACTCTAAACACTTTTTTTGAAAAATCCACATGGCTTAGTTTTGTTAATACTATCAAAAGCCATTACATCAGAAATAAAAGGATGGGTACTCAGAATCCCAATCCATAAAGCCAGTCATAGAAACAAATGCCCTTGCTAAGGAATGAGCAATCTAATTCGTTGTCTTTTTAACATACCTAACAGAAACTGAAGAAAACTTAGCAATAAGGGCTTTACATTCAGACATAAGAGAACCAACATAAGAGGAATCTTCTTCCTGGCTTTACATTCAGACATAAGAGAACCAACATAAGAGGAATCTTCTTCCTGTCGACTAAGAGCCTGCATTAGAAGCATGGAATCACCTTTCACATCCACCTGTAACACAAAACCTTTTCTTTTCAACTAATTGAGGGCTTCTCTAATGCCTAGAGCTTCTGCCATTAAAGGCGACTGCACCTTGCCTAACTGCTTCATCCCGCCACCAACACATGAGCTAAAACTATCTTGTAAGAACCAACCACAACCAGTAGTCCCAGTTTGGTGAACAAAAGAAGCATCAACATTAAGCTTATACATGCCAGCAGTCGGAGGAGTCCAGCGAATTGGATGTTGATGGCCCTCAAACTCTAAACACTTCTATAAAGCTTACGTCACTAAACAATTTAAAATAATAGAGGTAACATTTTACCCTCGGTCAAAATACTCACGGCTACTTTAAAAGCTGTTGTCACATAGTGTAGTATTGTATTTTCAATTGACAATTAAGAATGAAATGTTTTATGGTACAAACATCTATATATATAAAAGTTGAAATAAAGAGAAGTTTGAGGCGTATTTTTCTTTTTTTAGAAATTTTTAAACATTTTCTTTAATTTTTGTGTTGCGATTAGGCAACTTAAATATTTTAATTATTATTATACTATGAATTATCCATATTAAATTATTTAAATCGTTGAAGTTTATCTATGTATAATTATCTATTCTTTGAGTATTTAAGTTATATATAATTACCTTTTGTTTGATTTTATTTTATTTTGCTTTCAGTTATATATTTTCCGTTCATATTCCTTTTTCCACCTATCTATTTTCCATTAGCCATTACAATCTTAAAATGCCTTCATTCTCTATTCTCCCTCTAACTCCTTCACTAGCAATTGAATTTAGCTTACATCATCATCTATAAGATTGAGTGTTGATTATTAACTTATTGTTGTGTTTTACCAGGTTGGTTGTTATTATAAATTATTTGAATTGTTATGAATTAGTTGTTGTTTGAATTTGTGTTTTGCAATTAGTTTCTAATTGTTAATTAGAGTATTAAATTATTTAATGAGTATTAAATTACTTTAATTTCATGTATTAACTTCTTTTTTTAATAAAAAAAAAAATATATATATATATATATCTACCTGTAAAAAATTTCCTCATTTATCTGTATATTTTAATTTGTTAACTTTATCTTTATTTTTTTAAGTTAGTTATTATTAAATGAACTTCTTATAACATTTTTTTTCTTATTTTATCAATTTTTGAGTTTTACGTTCTATCTTATCGTATTATAATTGGACACCTAAGTACTTATTTAAATTGTAACTATTGTTATTTTTAATTATCTGTATTGAATAATTTCAATTATATATATAGAATTACATATGATAATATAATTCATTTAAATTGTTTGCACATAGTATTCTAGAAAGTCATAATTTTCGAAAGCTTTTTTACAATTTCGGATACAACACAAATTCTTCTCTAATTGAACTTATATAAATGCAAAACCATTAATATTTGAAATAAGAGTAGTTGCATGTAACAATTAAAATTAAATATTGTAAAATGTTTTGTTACTTTTAAATATATTGTGAATGTTAATATCATGAGTAATAATATTCTTTTTTATTCAATGAATTTAAATATTTTATCTCTCTTTTTTTGAAATATCATTCCTTGTTATTTTATTTTTTTTATTTTAATAAAATTCATTAATTGAAAGGAGAGATTTTACTTGTCAAGTTTTGAATAGAAAAAAGCATGTAATTATCAATAGGTTATTAAATATTAAAATACATAATAATATTACTTTTAAACCAATGTACCTTATACTACGCTCCAAAGGGCGTAACAATGACTAATTTTATATATACATTCCACATTGATTATTATAGAAATGAGTCCCCTTTAGGTCTGCACGAGTGAATCCAGATTAAAACGGGTCAAGTGGACTTTGGACATCAAAATGATTAAAAATTAAAACAAAAAATACAATAATATCCATGATTTAATCGACCAACCATAATCAAGTTACAGACAGCCATTTACTGAAAAATTTCATTTACTGAAAATTTTTCAGCCAAGTCTTCAGTACTACTCTCACCTGTTTTTACAGTGGTAGTTCCCACATAAAATGCAGGCTGCTTAGGCATTGGAAGCTGTATGTCATTAGTCAACATAGATAAAACATCTGGCATGGTTGGCCTATTATAAGCATCCTGTTCTACACATAGCAGAGCCACATTAATGCATCTCAGAACTTGGTCGTTTAATGCTGAATCGCTCACCGTCGGATCTAATATTAGTTCCCATCTTCCTCCTTTCCATTGCTCCCATGCCTGAGATAAAATTCTCGACAATTAATTTATTTGATTTATAAATATATAATTTATTTGATTTATGGATAAGCAATAGTATGAAAACATTAACAAGATAATTAAACTTACATAACCCACAAGATTGAGCGGACGATCATAATTTCTTCTACCACTTATAATTTCAAGCGTTATAACTCCAAAACTATAAACATCGGATTTGATGGAGAAAATGCCTTCCATAGCATACTCTGGAGACATGTAACCACTGCAATATTTTTTTTTTTAATTAAGAAAAATGAAATTGAGAAGTAAGTTTGATTAAGTTGATAATGATAATGTTTTACTTACTAGGTTCCTACAATCCTAATCCTGTTAGTATTTTTGCTTCACAGACTCCGTTGCCCTGAAATTCTGCCATAACCAAAATCAGAGATTTTGGGAACCATGTCTTTGTCAAGTAATAATATTACTCGCTTTCAAATATCTCTGTGGATGATTCTTAATCTTGAGTACTTATGAAGGTAAGTTAGACCTTCAGCTATTCCCTCGATGATATTATATCGCTTTCTCCAATTCAATAGCTGCTTTCTTGATTGATCTTGAAAAAAAATAAAAATAAAAATATGAGCTAAATAAATGAGATGAACATATTCAACTTCTTCCATGAAAGGAGGAGCGAAAGCTTGCTTACCAAAGATGAAGGAGTCAAGGCTTTTATTTGGCAAGTACTCATAAATCAACAATCTCTCTTCTTCTTGGATGCAAAAACCTAATAGTCTCACAAGATTCATATGTTGTAGTTTAGCAATGAGTATAATATATATATATATATATATATATAACTCTACCTTGTAAACAGGTCCAAAACCACCTTGTCCGAGTTTGTTTTGCAATGAGAAAGAATCGGTAGCTGCTCTTATGGATGCAACGCTATATAGTTGCAAATTATGGCCGTTGTTACCGCTATTTTGAAGCTCATTTGCATCGCTTGGTCTATCTGACGTCAAGAGTTCTTTTAGAAATTTTGACGTCAAGAGTTCTTTTAGAAATTTCTCTGTTTGATTGTTTTCAGAAAGATTAAAAATTAGAAACTTGGAATTCAGTTTGAGCAATGCTAAGAATACATATAGGATGAATGACATAATGTAAATATACCTTCTTGTTCGAGTTTTTTCCATCGCAAATACAGAAATATGCCCACTAATGCCGCGAACACAACAATTGCTAAAGCAATCACTATTGTGCCCCAAAGTAATTATAAAACTCTCCTCTCTCTCTCTCTCTGTCTCTCTCTCGCTGGCCTATTGTGCCCCAAAGTAACTACTCAAAAATCTATATTCATGTTCCATCTCAGGTTCTATGGTTGATGCACCTGACAAACTGGCATCAGGGCCAACCGATTTAGACCAAACCCTTACCTCGCTTTTTTCGCAACTCACAAAGAAAACCACGATGACCCGCGCCGCGTGATTTCAAAACCTAGAAGAAAGGTCACTGTTACATGACTAATCTATTGGGGATTTGAGTGAAACCTAGAAGAAAGGTCACTGTTACATGATTAATCTACTGGGGATTTGAGTGATAGAATCATGAGGCTGGAGGAAACAGTGAATCGAAGCATGGCAAACACTCAATTTGACATTCTAGAACTCAGATCGTGAGGCTGGAGGAAATTTTAATGTATTCTCTCTCAAATCTCAGACTCCTTCACTAGCAATTGAATATATATATATATATGAGATAAATGTGTTCGGTTTGTTATTCTTTTTTATTGCTTTTTGTTGGAGTTAATATTATTGCTGTAGAAGTTTCTTGGGTTTGTTTATTAATTGAAGGTTGAATTTTGATTTACAGATTGAAGATTCAATATGGTAATGTCATGAATTATCCATACGGGAAGTTTACCAGGTTAGTTGTTATTATAAATTATTTGAATCGTTATGAATTAATTGTTATTTGAATTTGTGTTTCACAATTAGTTTCTGATTGTTAATTAGAGTATTAAATTATTTATTATAACCAGTAACTTCCTTTTTTTTTTTTTTCAAAAATATATCTACCTGTAAAACATTTCCTCATTTATCTGTATATTTTAATTTGTTAACTTTATCTTTATTTTTTTAAAGTTAGTTATTATTAAATGAACTTCCTATAACATTTTTTTTCTTATTTTATCAATTTTTGAGTTTTACGTTCTATCTTTTATTGTATTATAATTGGACACCTAAGTGTTTATTTAAATTGTAATTATTATTATTTTAAATTATCTGTATTGAATAATTTAAAATATATATATAGAATTATATATTATAATGTAATTCATTTAAATTGTTTGAATTACATAAACTAACTAAAAAATAAGTAGAATTAATTAAATTATTGTAGGATTAGTAAATTGTTTGCACATAGTATTCTACGAAAGTCATAATTTTCGAAAGCTTTTTTACAATTTCGAATACAACACAAATTCTTCTCTAATATAACTTATATAAATGCAAAATTACTAATATTTGGAATAAGAATAGTTGCATGTAACAACTAAAATTAAATATTGTAAAATTTTTGTTACTTTTAAATATATTGTTAATGTTAATATCATGAGTAATAATATTCTTTTTTATTCAGTGAATTTAAATATTTTTCTCTCTTTTTTGAAACATCATTCCTTTTTATTTTATTTTATAAAATCTATTAATTGAAAGGAGAGATTTTATGTGGTCAAGTTTTGAATAAGAAAAAATGCATGTTAATTATCAATATTATTAATATTAAAATAAAGAATAACATTATTTAAATAATGTAATATAACTATACTCGAAGCGCGTATACATTCCACATTGATTATTATAGGAAATAGAGTCTCTTTAAACACTAGGAAGGGAACGCTCTACCTCTCTTTGTAGATCTATTCAAAGTGAATCCGAATTAATCGGATCAGTGGACTTAGGACACCGGATAATTAAAATAAAAAAAATACAATAATAAACGATGATTTATCGACCAACCATATCGGTTGCGGACAAGCCATTTACTGAAAATTTTTCAGCCAAGTCTTTAGTACTACTCTCACCTGTTTTTACAGTGGTAGTTCCCACATAAAATGCAGGCTGCTTAGACATTGGAAGCTGTACGTCATTAGTCAACATAGATAAAACATCTGGCTAGATAAAACATCTGGCATGGTTGGCCTATCATAAGGATCCTGTTCTACACATAGCAGAGCCACATTAATGCATCTCAGAACTTGGTCGTTTAATGCTGAATCGCTCACCGTCGGATCTAATATTAGTTCCCATCTTCCTCCTTTCCATTGCTCCCATGCCTGAGATAAAATTATCATCAATTAATTTATTTAATTTATAAATATATAATTTATTTAATTTAGGGATATGCAATAATATGAAAACATTAATGAGATAATTAAACTTACATAACCCACAAGATTGAGCGGACGATCATAATGGTAAGTGCTGTGATTTCTTCTACCACTTATAATTTCAAGCATTAGAACTCCAAAACTATAAACATCGGATTTGATGGAGAAAATGCCTTCCATAGCATACTCTGGAGACATGTAACCACTGCAATATTTTTTTTTTTTAATTAAGAAAAATGAAATAAAATGAAATTGGGGGGGGGGGAAAAGTTAATTTTTTGGTTTAGTTGATAATTGATAATGTTTGTTTACTTACTAGGTTCCTAACAATCCTGTAGTATTTGCTTCAGGACTTCGTTGCCCTGAAATTCTGCCATACAAAAATCAGGATTTTGGAACCATGTCTTTGTCAAGTAATATATTACTAGCTTTTCAAATCTCTGTGGATGATTCTTAATCTTGATATTACTTATTGAAGGTCAAGTTAGACCTTCAGCTATTCCTCGATATATGTTCTATCGCTTTCTCCAATTCCCATAGCTGTTTTCTGATTGATTCTTGAAAAAATAAATAAATAAACTATGAGCTAATAAATTGGGAGAACATATTCAAACTTCTTCCATGAAAGGAGGAGCGAAAGCTTGCTTCAAAGATGAAGGAGTAAGGCTTTATTTGCGCATCGTACTCACAACATCAACAAATCTCTCTTCTTCCTTTGGATTGCAAAAACCTATAGTCTCACTAATTCATATGCTTGTAGTTTAGCAATGAGATATAGCTATTTTTGAACTCTATTAGCCCTTGTCCTATTGTTTCTGGACAGTCTCTGCACTTATGCTATTTACTTGCCATGCAATTTTCCTTGCAGTAATTGCATTTAATTGAAGATTAGATTTCTATTCTTGTATAAGTTGACCATCGTTTACACTCTGTTCTAATTTCCGTATTTAAAAGTGAGAAACAAGGAGCCTATTTAAAATACTGAACAAAATAAGATATCAAACTAAATTGCAGAAAAAACATGAAACCAATTAAACAAAGTGAGTTGGATTGATTGCGTTTTTCACATAGTAGAATTTTAACAAAATGTATATATTATATAGATATTATATATATATATATATATATATAACTCTACCTTGTAAACAGGTCCAAAACCACCTTGTCCGAGTTTGTTTTGCAATGAGAAAGAATCGGTAGCTGCTCTTATGGATGCAACGCTATATAGTTGCAAATTATGGCCGTTGTTACCGCTATTTTGAAGCTCATTTGCATCGCTTGGTCTATCTGACGTCTGACGTCAAGAGTTCTTTTAGAAATTTCTCTGTTTGATTGTTTTCAGAAAGATTAAAAATTAGAAACTTGGAATTCAGTTTGAGCAATGCTAAGAATACATATAGGATGAATGACATAATGTAAATATACCTTCTTGTTCGAGTTTTTTCCATCGCAAATACAGAAATATGCCCACTAATGCCGCGAACACAACAATTGCTAAAGCAATCACTATCCATTTCCAAACCTTATTAACTGTAGATAATTCAGCAGAGCCATACAAACTTTCTTTAACAACAGCAACCAATTATAAATATCAATTATTATTTAAATCTAAACTATCTAGCTAATACTTACGAGGGGGACGCCGGGGACCAGGGATGATCGCATAAAATTGTGGTTCATTCCCTGTCAAACCTGTGAAATCAAAAGGTCCGCGATAGAATGAGCATCCAGTTAGCACATGATTCCGAATTCCAGTACAATTACAGTCTTTCCAGCATAGATCTTTACAGTCACTGAAGCTAAGACTCTGATTTTTATCATTTGCGACATAATCCGGATGATAGTTAGAAATTCTTAATTCGAATTTAGAACCATCGTTCCTACAATTCGGGAGTTCCCATTTCACGCATCCATATTTTGTTATATATCCGTCGCAAGCTTCAGAATTCAAAATTGTTGTTCTCCCTGCGTCCCATATGCTTCCATCGTAATCTAAAAACCACCTGGAAATATTTCTCCGTTCAACAAGAGTGAACTCATTAAAATAAAGCCGGTAGCTAACAGATTCCTCTTCTCCATTTGAAACTATATCGAACCTATAGTTATGGTTGTACGGATCTGGAAGAGGAATGTTTGCAAATGATTTATCAGAAGTCAAGGTCCCACTAGTCCAAAATATAACTCTCCGCCGTTTAACGATGATTTCGCGTTTTATATAATCCCACTCCATAGTAAATGCTCCAAGCGTTGGAGTTTCTTCACCTAGCCAAGATGTGAGAGACCAATTTTTATTTTTCTTACTGTTAAACCCTAATTTCATTCCAGGCAAAAGCGTGTCCGTCGGATTATCAAAGCTTTCCCATAATATTTGTGTCTGGCCGCCGGAATTCGCTTTCAGCACAAAGTTACCGTTATCTTCTAATTCAGCTGTCAAATTTTCAGGGGAAGCGAACGGACCTGAATACAACTCAATTTCGCCATCAGGATGCTTGATTATTAATTTCCCAGCATCATTTACAGTAAGATAACTAGAGTTTTCGGTGATTGTTTTGTCTCTTTTGGCTAACCAGACAGCATGGTCGCTTAGATCACCGCCCTCGGTGTTCACGTAGGTGCAATTTATTGCTAGGGGTGTTCACGTAGGTGCAATTTATTGCTAGGTATTTGCCGGAGAATCTTAAAGCATAAAGCCCATTTGTCGAAACAAGCTGATCGGAAAAGTTGAGCATATCACCTTGTTTGAGTTGTGCATAATTGGTTGAAGCGTGACAGAAGCAAAATAAAGAAAAAGTTAAATACAATAATAGAAGTATTTCTATGTCAGCCATGTCTGTACCTTTATTATTGCTTTATCTTCTTTTTTGAGTTTAAATACATATACATACAATACAAGAAATTAGGTGCCTACAAAATATAGATCAAATAAATAAATTTTTTAAAAATATTAACAAAATATAATTGATAAAGTTGAGAATATAAATTCAATGTTTTAAAATTGCAAAGAGTTTTAAAAAAATAAGAATCCTTAAATGGCAAAGATTATCTTTCTTTTTTTCCTCTTAATTTCCTTCCTCTATGAGTTGATAAGTCAATTTTGGCAGCTCATTCCTTCTTTACACTCTTCTCACTTACCGCTACTAGGTGCAAAGCAATTTTCAAAGACACGGTTTTCCAGAGGGAGAGAGCTTCGCAGAGCTATTACTCGTCTTTGGCAATAAGTCCATATATATTATATATATATATATATATATATTTCTATTTCCCCTTTTATTATTGTAGTACGGTATATTTCTATTTATTTTTATAAAATAAATTACGGAAAATTTTTTTTCATAATTTTCCGTTATTTGATACGTTCGGAAAAAAATAAATCAGTGGTAAATATTTTAACGATTAAAAAAGTCATTTTTAAAGAAAATATTATTTGGAAATTGATTTTCGTTTGATTTTTTTTTTTTTATTAACCAAACGTCCGTTATTGTATCAGTCTTGCAAGAAATCTTATTAAAATGAAAACAAATTTTAAACACAAAGTAAAATTTATGTAATACAAACCAACAAGTCTTAATCTTATTTTTTAAAAAAAAAGTATTAATCTTATTTAAAACTTTAGTTTTAGAGTTAAAAAAAAAAAAAACCATCATTTTCCTTTCTTGATTGTACAAGTATTAATTATTTTATTCTTATTGACTTTTTATTGATATATATAGTTTTACACCAAAAAAGTGAAAAATAATATTGACTTTTTATTGAGTTATATAATTTTTCTTTTTAGGTCATTTCATTATAAATTTTAGTTAGATTTTCCTTATTTTGGAAGTATACTTTCAGTAGTAGAGCTACATTCTTAACTTAGAGCTACATTCTTAACTCGGTAACAAATAAAAAAAGTATTTTTAAAAAGTATTGTAAAAATCAAAAGATAGTTTAATTTTTCTTTTTAAGTCATTAAATTTTACTCCAATTTGAAATATCTCGTCAATTTAAAATATAATTATGCCTTTCGATTTTTAAAATATAAATGATTTATAATATGATATCATAAAATAAAAATTATTTAGAAAATATATATATATAATTAAATAATAATATGTATAACAAGTATTAATCTTTGTTGATATTTCATAGTTTTTTTTTTTTAATTTTACCAAAAAATAATCTTTGTTAATACTTATCTGGTCTATGCAATTTAGCTTAGAGTTTTGGCTTAACAATATTATAAAGGTAGAATTTCAAGTCAATGGTTCGTCAATATGTATATATGTAATAGATAAAATTTAAATAATTTCTCAAAATAGTAGTATAATTTTCAATATCTTTTAAACATATGTTGAAATTTTTTTTGCATAGATTTGTTGTTCTTTTATTTTTGTGATTAAGAAATAGTTTAATGTTTTTAAATTGGAAAGGATACAATTGAAATTATAAATTAAGTGACCAAAACTTCAAGAATTATTAAGAGCTTGAAAATGATTTTTTTTCCCCAAGATTTCGGATTATATAACTTACAATGAACAATTCTTATATGGGTTGGTTTGACAAGTTCATAGTCCTGAAGCAATGAATGAACGTTTGAATTTGATATAATTTATTATTTCATAAATTTATACTGAAAACAAAAATTCAACCTACAATCCTTAAATCGCAAAGAAGATCTTTCTTTTTCCTCTCAATTTCTTTCTTCGAGTTGATAAGTCAATTTTGGCAACTCATTCCTTCTTTACATGAACCACACATTCTTCTCCACGCACATTCTTATCACTTATGTCAGTAGGTGCAAGGCAATTTTCAAAGACACGATTTCCCAGAGGGAGAGAGCTTCATAGAGTTATTACTCGTCTCTGGCGATAAGTCCATATATATATAATTTAAATAATTTCTGAAAATATCCTTTCAATTTTTTTTATTCACTTTAGATTATCCATCATTACTGATTATTATCCAGTACTAGAACATACTTAAACTAAAGAAATCATTCCCTCCCTCTTCTTTCTTGCATCCAATCCATCATTCTTCATTCTTCAATTCCATTTGCAGCTTTTTACATATAACAAGAATGGTTGATCCGATTTTTCTCCACATATTTCTCTTTTTATTACTAGCTTCTACTTTTCCTACAACCCTTTGTACAGAAACTGATATTTCTTGCTTAAAATCCATCAAAGCTTCCTTGGAAGATCCCAATGGTTATTTAAGCTCATGGAACTTCTGTTAAAACAAACTACAGTGGAGAATTTACAGATTAAATCTTATGAGATTGATAGAGAATTCCAGCATATTTTTCATTGAAGAATACTGCAGAATTTATACAAGAATGAAAATAACAAACTTCCTATTTAGAAGCCACTCATAAGGTGGATAAAAACTAAAGGTGGATAAAAACTGAAGTAAAAAATCTTGCAAACTAATAGCTAAAAACACAGCCATAACTTAGCCACTAACTCCCACATTTGCTGCTGTAAAAATAAAAAGAAAATAACGAAAAAATATTAACAGGATGCTGGAACTGACAAATGCCAGGAATCAACACTCTCCATGGCATTTCGGTGACAGAAACACCAATTCTTTGTCTTCAAGTCTTCAAATCTTCCTTAGAAACATGGCCTGGTAACAAAAATGTCTGCAAGCTGATTTTCAGCATGACAATTACAAGTAGCACTTCGTTTACATGTAACTTCTTCATGATAAAATGAAAATCTTATTTATGATTTATGCTCGTTCGGAACATGAAACACTGGGTTTTTGAGATGAAAACTTGCTGAAATATTATCACATGATCATTTGTAGTTCTGTCCTGCTCACACTTGCAAGATCTTTTTGCATCGTTCCTAAGCCAAATAGCCTGGTTACAGCGGAGGCAGCAGCATTGTACTCTGGCTCTGCTTGTGATTAGCTTGTTTCTTGTTTTTTGAAGTCCAACTGAACACAATTGTGCCCGAATTGAAAATAAAATATTCCAGAAGTCTTCTTGAGTCTTCAATACAAGCCACCCCAATCGCTTCACAGTAACCAACCCAACCTTCAAATTCTCCCCTCGCAACGCGCAAGACATCCAAATTGTTGCTGGTTTCCTTTTTATATAACTTAACACCCTTTTGGCAGCTTGTAAAGTGGCTTTCCCTCAGAGTGAATGACAGTGAGACCTAGAGAAGTAAAACGTACCAGCAAATAGAATGTCATGTTCTGCATGCTGTAAGGTACAGAAGACTACCATTAAACTTCTATTAAGAGGCTTGCATTACTTTTTTCAGCATTTCATCCTGCCTAGTATTAAACCGAGTAGACAAATTGGGAGTGCTTACAGGGGGGGGGGGGGGGGGGTTTGCGAATCTTTGCATTTTTTAAACACTGTCTAAATATCAGAAATGTATTTCTGCTGAATTATAAAAACATCATTAGTTTGCAGAACACCTCATCCCAAGGAAAGTATTCATGGAGTCAAGATTCAGGTCATCTTCAAAGACTTCTCTCCATTTCATTCTTGACTTTTTGAATTGAGTTCAAGTTGCTACCTGACACAAGCATTGCTCATCAACATAAATTATGAAACAATAAAACACTCATCATCTGGTATTTTCTTCACATACAAGGTTAGCTTTTCCACTCTTGATTCTGCTAAAGCCAAGTTGATGAAGATGAGTCCATCTTCATACCAGGCTCTTGGAGCTTGTTATTAGCCATACAAAGCTTTCTTTAAGAAGATTAAACTTGATCCTCTTTACCAGGAATTAAAAACACCATCAGGTTCGCTTACAACAAATTCTTTCATTGAGAAGACCAATTTTCAGAAATGCTTTGATTTGACCTCAAGTTGGTGAAATTTGCAATGAATTGTGACAGCCAAGCAAGAAGGAGTTTATTGTGTCAACCTTTGCTACTGCGAGCAAATTTCTTGGAATTCCACCCACATATATGCTGTGCATATCCTTCAACACCAATTCTGGCTTTATGCTTAAAAATGGAACCATCGAATTAACATTTGTCTTAAAGACCCCAACTTACACCAATCACTTGCGATTGCTGCCTATTCAACTAGCTTGCCATGTCTCATTCTCGTTGATCATTTCTAATTCAGCTTGCATGCTGCTCCTACCCATGCTTATGAAATTTCTTGTGCTTCATCGATAGCTGTTGGATTCATTGACAACTAAGCAAAAAGATTACACTATTTCAATAAACGTCCTCTAAGGACTTAATGGTACTCTTTCTCACCGGAAGTCAATCCACAATCATCTTGCTTACAAGTTGAGGGTTGCTCTTTTTGGAAAAGAATTAGGCCTTGGAGTATCCCTTTTTGTTCTCCCGAACACCAAGTACAGCAGCCTCATCCAAACCATTACCATCTCGCTCAAAATGTTATTTTTTTCAGTTTTTCAAGTCAGAAAATCCTGTAACCCCTTTACCACGATGAACCATAGCCCATGAAAATGCCTTTTGTCAGCCCTAGTTGTCTAAGCTTGCTTCTTTATGATTCAGCAGACTTGATAAATTAACATATACACCCAAAGATTCTGATATATGTACTCGTTGGCTTGTGTCATTACAAGCTTCTAAGGAGTCCTTGTTCTGCCAAATTCATAAGGAGTCTTGTCTTGCAAAGCTTTTGTGGGAAGTCTATTTAATAAATAGACAGAAGTATTGACTGCCTCTGCCTAGAATTGGTTTGGCATTTGTTTCTCAATTAAAAGACACCTGGCCATCTCTATTACTGTCCTATTCTTCCTTTCAAACACCCTATTTTGTTGCGGAGTGTAAGGTACAGTCAATTGATGTTCAATGCCTGCACTTTTACACAATTCAGCAAACTGGCGAGAAGTATATTCTCCACCATTATCAGATCTTAAAGCTTTAATTTTAAGATTACATTGATTCTCTACTAAAGCTTTAAATTGTTTAAACACATCAAAGACTTCACTTTTGAGTTTAATCCAAACACATACCTGGTGCCAGTCGATCATAAATAGAAGAAAATAATTTACCACTCAAGGATTGGTTGTCTCGGAACCAACACATCAGTCGTGGACGAGTTGAAGTTATTGATGATTTTGCTTACCTGCCTGAATTTGTTTGAAATGGTAGCTTATCGATTGTCCCTTGCTGACAGATCTCACAGAAACTTGGTATCATAGAAATTCAGGAATCCTGTCCACCAGACCCTTCTTGTCATTTCAGCAATTGTTTCTTGATTGAAATGTCCCAGCCTTTTATAATGCCATAAGTTTGGTAATTGATGTGAAGCACTTGTGTAAGCTTTCTCAGATGCTTTGCTCTCCCAATTTACCACAAACTTCTATTTTTCATTTTTCACACTAAATAATTCATACTCCAGAAGGATCAAAAAAATGCATTGTCATCCTTAAAGAATCGTGAAATTAAATTTATTTCAAGGCATTGCCCAACACTTAGCAAATTTTGGCTTAATTTCAGGTATGTTACAAAAATCTGGAATGGTTTGATACTGATTTTGTTAAGGACAAGCTCCACTATCCTTTCCTTTTGACTTCTAGAATTTCTCCATTTCCCACCTTTAACTTTGGATTTGTAGGTAACATCAGAGTCCTGAACATGCTCGCTCATTGCACAGTGATTGAGTCAGGCCACTGTCGATAAGCCAGCATCAAGAATCATTCATGAGAAAGCAGAAAGTGCAAAAGTTGCTCCTGCCTGTGCTTATTTTCGGTCTGCATTTGAAGCTTTGAGAGGTTTTGAGCCTTTGTTTTTGATTCGCGGACTTTGGAAAACCATGGGCCAATCTGCTTACAACTGCCACAACAGCATCACGCTCCACCAGCAAGATTTCTCAAGATGTGGTTTGTTTTTTTTGCAGTTGTTGTGCAAGAAGGAAGACAGTTTCTATTTGACCTTTCACTGCATTTCCACATCGTGGCTTGCCCTTATTTTTCTGGTAATGGGATGTGTTTCCCCTATAAGAGTTTTGCTTTTCTGATAGAGAAAGCTCCGTCGTGAATCTCCTCCTGCCTCAATTCCTATCTTTCTTTCTTTCGCTGAAGTGCACTCATTTGTAGTTCACCTAATGAAAATCTATTAGGTTCCCTTGGACTCTTCAAAAGAGAGAAACAATCTTGGATTCAACCTCTCTTGGAAGAGAGAAGAAATCTTGGATTCAAACCTCTCTGGAAGAGTCACAAGAACTTTCTCCACAATTCTTGTCTCTAAGAAATCTTCACCAAGCAATCTTATGTTATTAACAATCAAAGAAATTCGATCGGCATACTTACTGATTGTTTCATCCTCCAACATGTGCAATGACTCAAATTCCCTTTTCAAGTTCAACACTTGCATTTGACGTGTTCTACCACTGCCTTGGTATTCTTCCTTCAACCTGTCCCAAGCCTCCTTTGCAGTTTTGCAAGCCATAATTCGGTAGAACACAGAATCTGCTACTGAATTTTGAATAACTGACTTGGTTCTAGATTTCTTTACTTTTTCTTCACTGTTGAATTTGATTTGTGCTAAGGTGGGGTTTGCTGGTAGAGCAGGAATTTGTTTATCCTCTGTTACAGATTCCCAGAGATTAAAGGCTTCCAAAAAAGCTTGCATTCACTGACCAAATGTGATAATTTTGACCAGTTAAGATGATAGGCGGGTTTAAAGATTGGCTGCTGGATGCCATTTGGAGTTTTGGATTAAAAAAACTTTGGTTGTAGTTTGGTCTTGTAAGATAAACTGCTCTGATACCACTGTTAAAACAAACAACAGTAGAAAATTTACAGATTAAATCTTATGAGATTGATAGAGAATTTCAGCACGTATTTCATTGAAGAATACTGCAGAATTTATACAAGAATGGAAATAACAAACTTCCTATTTAGAAGCCACTCATAAGGTGGATAAAAACTGAATAAAAAATCTGCAACTAAGAGCTACTGGAATAAAAAATCTGCAACTAGAGCTAAAAAACAGCCACTAAACTTGAAGCCAAAGCCACTAACTCCACCATTTGATGCTGTAAAAAAAAAGAAATAACAGAAAAATATTAACAGTATGCTGGAACTGAAATGCCAGAAATCTAACAACTTCAACAACGATACAGAAGGCAACATCTGCAAATTCGTCGGGATTTATTGCTGGCATGTTTATGAAAACAGGGTATTGAATATTGAACTTAGTGATATGGGACTCAATGGCCAATTTCCTAACGGAATTGAAAAGTGTACAAGCTTAACCGGCCTAAACCTGTCTAACAATAACCTTCAAGGAACAATTCCTTCCGATATATCAAAAAAGCTTCATTTTGTTACAAGTCTTGATCTTTCTTCTAACAACTTTTCCGGTCAGATTCCACCGGATATTGCCAATTGCTCTTATTTGACTTCGCTTAAACTTGAACACAACAGTTTACGGATATTGCCAATTGCTCTTATTTGACTTCGCTTAAACTTGAACACAACAGTTTAACAGGTCAAATTCCTGAAGGAATCGGTAGACTTAGTCGGCTAAGGACTTTTAATGTTTCTAATAATATGTTATCAGGGCCAGTTCCCAATTTTTTTCATGCTAAATTTTCAGCTGATCGCTATGCTTCTAACAAAGGACTTTGTGGAGGGCCTTTGAAAAGATGCAGAAACAGTTCCAAGAAATTCCGATTTGATTATTCATTCAAAGATGGGTTTGCTATTGGTTATGTGGTTTCTCTGATTTCAGCTATGGTGATTTATGCATCTTATTGTATCCCTTGGGTGAATATGGGGAAAAAGGATGGGATGATCACAATACCAGCAATGGTGATGATGATGATGAAGAGAAGAAGCAAGAAACCAGAGCTATGATGAAGAGAAGAAGCAAGAAACCAGAGCTTGACTATTTGGAAAGCTTGTCAACTTTGGAGTTTCTATTGGAGAAAGAGGTATTTCTTTTACTTTGTTAATTGGAAATATATCCGATGCTCTGCCTCATACCAATAAGCATGAATGTGTTCACAGGTTTCTACATCGGAGAATTTTGTTACAAGAATGAGTTTTAAAGATCTCTGCGATGCAACAGAAAATTTTAGCAAAAATAACATAATTGGATTTGGAAAAATGGGGATTATGTACAAAGCAACACTTCCCAATGGTTGGTCTCTTGCAGTCAAGAAATTCTGTAATTCCAAACAATCTGAAGAACATTTCATATCTGAATTGAAGATATTAGGAAGATTAAGACACGAAAACTTACTTCCACTGCTCGGATTCTGCAAAGAATAAAAGAAAAGGCTTCTGGTGTATAACTATATGTCTAATGGAAACCTTTTCGATTGGTTGCATTCAATGGATGACGAGAAAAATACTCTGCAATGGCCTATAAGAATGAAAATTGCTATTGGTTTAGCGAAAGGCTTAGCATGGCTTCATCATTGCTGCAATTTCCGTGTAGCTCATTTGAACATAAACACAAAATGTGTTTTACTCGATCAGAATTTTGAGCCTAAGTTATCAAACTTTGGAATGGCAACGCTCATAAATCCGAAAGAGATCAATTCAAGTAGGGGTTTTGTTATGGTTGTTGTTATGGAAGTGAGTTTCTGGTAAGAATGTTTTTCTTAGGAAGATTGTTTTCAAACTAGGAATTGTGCTTCTCTTGAGCTCAGTTACTAGGAAAAAGTTGTCTTCTCCTTCTTTTAAACATTTCTGATGGAAGCTTGGAATAAATGGGTTAAGAGCTGATCATTTCTGATGGAAGCTTGGATAAATGGGTAAACTATCATTTCTGATGGAAGCTTGGATAAATGGGTAAACTATCATTCTTCTAGTAACTCTGATCGTCTACATGATTTTGTCGATGAGCTCCTGATAGGGAAAGGACATGACAATGAGATCTTTCGATGCCTCAAAGTTGCGTCTAACTGCATTCATCAATCTCCAGTGCAACGGCCAAGTATGCTTGATGTGTACACGACAATTAGCACTATAAGCGATTGACATTTTACAAGCTACAAGAAATTAGCACAAATTTCTTAATAGGCTTGAGATTTGTTGGAAGCAGAAGCATGCTTCTGTTACCCACATTCTATAAGTTGTATGTCAAGTGTAGTTGTTAATTAGAGCCGATCTAGTTCGGATGGGCTATATGAATCATTTGTTTCCAATATCCACTCTAATCAAATTAATAGCAAAGCAAAGTATAAATTGGAAAAATATTTTGGATGTATTAAAAGAAAAAACAGAGTCGAGAAAAGTGAAATCAATAACATTATTATTTCAAACCCAATTTAAACATGGAGATTTCAGTTTGTGACAACATATCAGAATCATCTTCAGGCCCATATCTCTCTCCAATAGCCCTTAATGTTCTATAGACCTTAAGCATTGTTGGCCTTTTCTCAGGAAAGGCCTGAACACAATCACAAGCAATTCTCAGGATCTGAAATATCTCTCCATCATTTCCTTGCCCAACAATACGCTTGTCAATAGCATCATAAAGTCCAGAAGAACTAATTGAAAGCTCAGTACCATTAAATATGCTAAACGAATTGATGATTCCAGTAGGATCCTTTCCTGTAATTAGCTCAACAAGAAGCATTCCAAAGCTGTGGACATCCTTCTTAACAAAACCCATCTCCCAAAATTCTCTATGCACAATGAAATCTCTAGTTGATTGTATATCATTTCGATTCAAGAACAGAGCTCCATTGAAATTCGACATTTTGGGCTCAAATTTCTGATCAAGTAAAATACATTTGGAGGTTATGTTGAGATGAATAACCTGAATATTAGGGTTGTAATGAAGCCAAGCCAAGCCTCTTGCTAATCCAATTGCTATTTTAACCCTTAAAGGCCAATCAATGTTATTATCACCACCAATTTTGGTTTTATGAATTATTATCACCACCAATTTTGGTTTTATGAAGCCAATCATAAAGGGTTCCATTTGAAATGTATTTGTAGATTAGAAGCATTTCTTTCTTTTCTATGCAGAATCCTATTAGAGGCACTAAGTTAGTGTGTCTTAACCTACCTAAAGTCATTAGCTCACATACAAATTCTTTCTTGAAATTCTGGAAATTGTAGAGCCTCTTAATAGCAAGAAACCAACCATTTGGAAGTGTTGCCTTGTACATTGTTCCCATTTTTCCTTGACCAATGATATTCTCTTTATCGAAATTTGAAGTTACATCAGCAATTTCTTTGCAACTCATTCTTGTAACCATCCTCTCCAATGTAGAAATCTGTTGAAAAAAAAAAATCAACTTCTCTTGATTATATAATATCTGGGTACTTTAAACAACTAGACAAAATGAATTAACATTAAAGACCAAGCTAATGGGTAGAGTAGAGGATGTTAATGTAGCTTTTTGAAAATGATGTTGAAAACTTTTTCCAAAATATATTATAAGCCCATAAACAATATTCAATAATAATTTGTGTACCCAGAATATGTTAAATACAGAGAGTGATATATATACCTTTATATCCATCCTTCTTCCATCAATTGGTATCTTTATTGGCTTTTTAATTTTCTTCCCTAGAACCTTATTCTTCGAAAACTTGGTTGTAGAATACAGAGCAAAAAGAACAATAACCAGAGCAAAAGCAACAGTAAGCCCATAAACAATATTCAATAATAATTTGTGTACCCAGAATATGTTAAATACAGAGAGTGATATATATACCTTTATATCCATCCTTCTTCCATCAATTGGTATCTTTATTGGCTTTTTAATTTTCTTCCCTAGAACCTTATTCTTCGAAAACTTGGTTGTAGAATACAGAGCAAAAAGAACAATAACCAGAGCAAAAGCAACAGCATAACCAACAACAAACCCATGAAAGAAGGGAACAGGGAACTCAATAGGAGGAGGAAGACAAGGATCCAAAGGTACACCACATAGTCCTTCATTATTTGCATAACCATCACTACCAACCCAAGCAGTGAAATTAGGATTAAAATTAGGCACAGGCCCAGACAACAAATTGTTAGCAACACTAAATCTCCGGAGTCGACTCAGGAGCCCAATCTCCGTCGGTATTTGCCCTGTTAACCTGTTATTATCAAGTATTAGCACATTAAGGAAAGAGCAATTGGCTATACTAACAGGAATTTCACCAGAGAGATTATTGTGAGATAGATCAAGAACGGAGAGAAATGGGATTCTTTTGGATATATCAGATGGGATTGTGCCGGAGATTTGGTTGCCTGAAAGGTTCAAGCCTGTAAGGGTTGTGCAGTTCTCAATACCCGTAGGAAAGTTGCCTTCGAGACCCATATTGGCGAGATTGAGATTTAAGACTTTATTTTCGTCTATGTGCCAGCAATCAACACCAGCAAAATAACAGACGAAATCGTGGGTATTGTTATTTAAGTTCCAGGAAGAGTGTAAGCGATGTTGAGGATCTTTGAAGGAGTCTTTGATTGATTTCAGGCATGCAATATCAGTATCAGTGCTGGTACTGAATGTAGACGTACTCAAGAGAAATAAAAGAGTTAAGTGGATGAAGAACAAGAACCCCATAATTCTTGTACAGAAATATTGTGTTGTTCTTGAAATACGATTACGAAATATTTAACTGCAGAATAAAAAGAAAGTCCAAAAGCAAGTCTTTCACGGCATGGAAAATTGAAGTGGTGGAAAAAAGAAAGTCCATGTACATCGAAATCAAAGTCTTCGGGCTGGTTGACCCGCTATATAGATATTGAAAGAGGATACTTCCTTGGGGGCTTCGTGGTTATCTGGTTCCAGTTTCGATTTCTTGTTTTTCAGGAACTGGAATTGAAACAAAAGAAATTCGGTACACTGTCTCAGTTCCAGTTCTCAAAATTTCAATTAGGTACTTCCATTCTGCAGTTTTGGTTATTTGGTTCTAATTTTAGTTCTTTTATTTAAAATTACTACATTTTCTAAAGGATAACCACAGTTATAAACTTTTCCTATATTGCATTAATATCATGTTCCTTTAAATAAATAAATAGAATTTAATATTAAAATAAAACTACAATACAGACAAATAATCCATCATAACCATATATCAATACCGGTAACGGAGCCAAAAATAAGAGGTGGGGTAAATTTTTTTTAAAATTTAAGGGAGATAAAATTGAAAACATTTATTATTTTATAGATAAAATTGAAAATTATTAACATTTTATAGGTAAATGTAGGATCCATAAAATTATCTATCGTTAATTTACTCACTTAATAAGTAGTAATTATTAAAAAAATAAAAGTCGTATTTCTGAGCTAGGGGGCCGGGGTGGCCCGCCTCTAACTAATTCTTTTTCAAAGAATTATGTCATAAAATTTCAAATTTTTTTATTTTATCCTTAAAATAATAAATTTATCAATTTCATCCCTTTAATTCTTAAAAATTTTATTTTACCCCCTAATTTTAATTTCCGACCGTATCATTGAATTCATTCATTAAAAAAATAGAATTACATCAAATAAACCTTGATGAAATTGAACTTATATTACAAAATTGAGGAAAAATATGAAACAGTAAAAACCATCGAACCCAAAAAGAAGGGATTAATTCACTTTTCATCTTTTATAAATTTCCTTTAGGACCCTTCTTTAAATTGCTATTAAGTCATCTTTATAATATTTATTATATGTTGGCTTTGGAAAAAAAATTTTCTCGATCCGGTCGGGGTCGTGGAAAAGCAAGTCTTTTACGGTATGGAAAATTTGTGTACATGCAAATCAAAGTCTGCCCAACGCATGTTGGAGGACAGGATTCTTCCTTGGACTTATATATGTATATGTATATCTTTTTTTAAAAAAAAAAAATTTCGGGTATTTTCACATTTTCTTTAAATATAATATTAATTTGTTTTAGAGTCTGTGGCTATCCTCTCTCTATAAATGCTTTTCATGGATCGAGCTTTTTTACAATGTGAAAATTATACCATCAATTCTCTTTAAATATTGTAGCTAGCAAGTTACACATACCATCAATTGTTGCTAGACAAGTCCATCCACTTGAGCATATACATAATTCATTGCTAGCCCTTCCTTGAATCCTTTATCCATCACTATATTGTTTCTTTTGCAGCTTTTAGATTTCAGTAATTAGATGTCTTGCAAAACTAGAAGAGTTGGTGCAGTTTCTCTGTGCATATTTATCTTTTCATTTTTGGCCACTTTTACTGCAACTATCAGTACAGAAACTGATATTGCTTGCTTAAAATCTGTCAAAGCTTCCTTAGAAGACCCTTTTGGTTACTTGAATTCTTCCTGGAATTTCAACAACAATATAGAAGGTTTTATTTGTAGGTTTGCTGGTGTGGATTGCGGGCCTGATGATGAAAACAAGGTTTTAAGTCTCAGCCTCTATGATATGGGACTTAAAGGTCGGTTCCCTAGAGGGCTTCAAAATTGTACAAGCTTAACAGTCCTAGACTTAACCAATAACGAGCTTTATGGACAAATTCCATTTGATATTCAAAAACTACTACCGTCTGTTACATTGCTTGATTTATCCTCCAATAAATTCTCTGGTGAAATCCCATTGAGCATTGCTAATTGCTCTAATTTAACTGTTCTTAGACTTGACAACAACAGTTTAACCGGTCATATTCCACAAGGAATTGGTTTGCTTAGTCGGCTCAAGTGGTTTAGTGTTGCTAATAATTTGTTATCAGGAGCAGTACCCAATTTTAATTCTACATATATTGGATCCTACGCAAATAACAGTGGACTCTGTGGAAGGCCTTTGGAAAGATGCAGAGTTCATTCGGAGAAATTCCACTGGCGATTTGTTTATTCATTCAAAGATGGGTTTGCTATTGGATACGCAGTTTCTTTGATTTCTGCTATGGTAATTTATGCTTCTTATTGCGTACCTTGGGTGCATGCGGGGACAAAGGATGAGAGGATCACAATAACAACAATGGTGATGATGATGATGAAGAGAAAAAGCAAGAAAACAGAGCTTGACCATTTGGAGAGCTCGTCAACTCTGGAGTTTCTACTGGAGAATGAGGTATTTCATTTACGTTATTAGTTAGACTCTTATATTTACTGGGACACTTATAATCTTAACGAACTTTATTTAGGTTTCATATTTGATAAATAATAATAAAAAAATGAGGCAGTATGCTGAAAATACTAGTTTCAAATTGTTAACCCCTTTGTTTGGAACAAATTTGTGCAATCATTTGCAAACCCATATTTTTGTGTTTGAAATTAAAAAAAAAAAAATTTCAATTTCAATTATAGAAATTCAATTCATGGGATTGAATATAATTACATCAAATTTTCACAAAATAAGTGGAATTTCCACAAAACTAAGTAATTCAACTTTTGATGACAAAACTATACCATTCTTCTCCTACAAAGTCAATTTATCAATTTACTTATTTAACTTATTTATTTTATTAAACTTGACCAAAATAATTTTAAAATTTTATTTTTTTTAGAAAAATATTTTTTATTAATGTGTTTTTTATTTTAATATTTTTATCTTTTATTTAAATATTTTTTAACATTTTTTTACTATTGAGAGAGATTCGAGTTAAATATACACTTACCACTGAATCAAATGCAATAATTTACTTTTATTTTAATAAAAATATAAAAAAATTATATAGCATAACATAAATATAATTGGTATTTATGATTTATTTTTATGAAATTACTATTTTAAGGATATTTTAGGAAATAAAAGTAAATGAATTTTCAATTATAAATTTATTACATGCATGATTATGTCAAACTCAAATGAATTATATGTTTTAAATTGGGTTAATTATAAATTTAGTGTCTGAACTTTCGAAAAATTTCTATTTCAGTGTTTTAACGGAAAATATTTACAACCAAATATTTAAATCGATAAATTTTTTTTAATCAGGTGTCTCCGTCTTACGTGGCTTGCCAGAAACATAAATAGGACTTATGAAGTCCACTTAATATTCAAAATAATACTGATTAAGATGATAAATAACTTGACACGTCGGATTTTGGCATGTCAAATAATGGAGTATAAAAAAGATTGATAAAATTGCCCTTAGCCCTATAATACTTACTGGACGTCTAGACCTAGCCCATAACTCTACATATAAGCCAAAAAAGTAAGATAATGACACATGATTTAATATTTTTAATTCCAGAAATAAGAAATCTCATTCTTCTCTAATCTTTCTCTAGCCTTTGCATTATAATTCCAATACATTATAAGGTCCAATAGTTATTTTTCCATTAAGTGACTAAGATATTAAAAGTACTCTTAAAGAAAATTATTTTTCCTACATTTAGGGGTGAGCAAATAGTGATCTGAATCAAACTAAGGTGAAAGAAAATACAAAACTGAAATTTCCATAAGTAAAATGAGTCGAACTGAAAATGGGTATTTAAATCGAATCGACTCGAATTGTATTAGTCAATTTGTGCTGTTTAATCGGTTTGATTTTAAGATCAAGATGAGACAAACAATAATTTTGGTTCAGATAGAGCGACATGATCAACCGAACTTCTTTTGAGCAGTCAAATTACATCTATAGGGCAGTTATGGACCAAAGCAATTAATATATATATTTTTTAAAAACTATTCTCATTTTATCTCTTTTTTTCCCCATTAAATGATAAAAAATATTCTCATTAAAAAAATAGTTTTTTTATTGATCTAATCAATTGATCGGCCAATAAACCGGGTCTAAGCAAGTTATTATAGATCGAAATATGGCATGTACCGGTTCCTAACCCAGACAACTTGCACAACAATGTGACTGCACAATAATGTGACATGTACTAGTTTTCCAAAAATAGGTGTGTCAGCATATTTATGTCATAATGCAAATATATCCGATGCTCTGCCTCATACCAATAAGCTTGAATATGTTTACAGGTTTCTATGCTGGAGAATTTTGTTACAAGAATGAGTTTTGAAGAGCTCAGCAACGCAACAGAAAATTTTAGCCAAAATAACATAACATGTACGGGTTCCTAAACCCAGACAAAACTTGCACAACAATGTGCTGCACAATAATGTGACATGTACTAAGTTTTCACAAAAATAGGTGTGTCAGCAAATATATGTCGATAAATGCCAGCATATTTATGTCATAATGCAAATATATCCGATGCTCTGCCTCATACCAATAAGCTTGAATATGTTTACAGGTTTCTATGCTGGAGAATTTTGTTACAAGAATGAGTTTTGAAGAGCTCAGCAACGCAACAGAAAATTTTAGCCAAAATAACATAATCGAAAATGGAGAAACGGGGATTATGTATAAAGCAACACTTCCTAATGGTTGGTTTCTTGCAGTCAAGAAAATCTATAATTCTCAACAATCTGAAGAGCATTTCATATCTGAATTGAAGATATTAGGAAGATTAAGACATGACCACTTACTTCCACTCCTCGGATTCTGCAAAGAATCAAATAAAAAGCTTCTGGTGTATAAGTACTTATCAAATGGAAACCTTTTTGATTGGTTACATTCAACGGAAGACAAAAGAAAGACTCTGCAATGGCCTTTGAGAATGAAAATCGCTGTTGGTTTAGCGAGAGGCTTAGCGTGGCTTCACCATTGCTGCTACTTCCGTGTAGCTCATTTGAACATAAACTCAAAATGTGTTTTGCTTGATCGGAATTTTAAGCCTAAGCTATCAAACTTCGGAAGGGCGACACTTGTCAATCCAAATGAGATAAACTCAAACAGGGGTTTTGTTATGGATGACAGCGGGGTTTTGTTATGATACTGAATTTGGGGAAAGAGTGATTTTCCTTAAAAGAAATGTTTTTCAAACTATGGAAGTTCTGCGTGATTGAGCTCATTACAGGAAAAAATGCTACATAGAGAGAGACTTAAACATCTCTGATGGAAGCCTTTGGGATAAATGCGGAGTAAGGCTACCATTGCTTTCCAATAACTCCTTATTGGTTCTGCATGATTCGAGTGGATGAGCCTTCTGATATGGGCAAGGACATGATGATGAAATCTTGTCAATGTCTTCAACTTGCAATGTACTTGTGTTCAAGAAGATTGCAGAGCAACGGGCCAAGCATAGCTTTGAATGTGTACACGACAATTGCCCACTTTAGGAGAGCAAAAATTTGTGCAAAAGAATGAATTAATAGATGCTGCCATAAATTCTAACATGTAAAATTTAGGTGATTATATTGACGAAAGCAATTTTGGATTTGAGCAGGCTTTCCAATTACAAAGAGGAGCCGACTTGAATGCTGCTTTGAAAAAGGTTGAACTGTTAAAGGAAAATTATACATAGCGTTTC